AGCGTGAGTTGGGGAGGAGGTGCGGCGCGCAGTGTGTGTGGAGCCGTGAACAGGGCCAACTGATCAGAAGCCGATTAATCGATTATTGAAAAAGTTGACAACTTTTTCAATAATCGATTATAATCGATTATGTCGATTAGTTGTTGCAGCCCTATATATAATATATATATATGTACAGGGGTTGTATTTTTTTTACGTGCGTGTGTGTGTGGGGGGCGGGGGGAGTTTGGGGAGTAGAAGTGTATTAGGCTACATTCACACCTTTATGTTAGGCGCAATTAGGGATTTCTGCGTCAGGAACTTGTGTTTTCCTGCAACAGAAATCCCTAAATTGGTGTTTTACAAATGGCAGCTGTCACCTAAGTTAATGATCAGGTGACAGAAGTTGCATGTAAACGCCTGCACACCGCATGTAAAGATACGTGATATGTTTACATTCCGCTAGGAATCAATCACTCTCCCTGGACGCATGTAATCATATCACGTATCATTACATGCGGTGTGCATGCGTTTACATGGAGCTGCTGTCACCTGATCATTAACTTGACTAGGTGACAGCTGTCACTTGAAAACGCCAACTCAGGGATTTCTGCTGCAGTCTGAGCAGTCTCCAATAAAGGTTCTTGTGGATGTTTTCAAGGCTAGTTATTACTTAAATTATTATTAAAACCAGTAGCAACTGAATGCAGAGGCAACTATTTATGATAATAAAGAGTAGATGCATAGTCCTATACAACCGGCCCTTTGAGGGTAACCATACTGCTGATGCGGCCCCCGATGAATTTGAGTTTGCCACCCCTGTCATAGTGTATGTGAGGGTCAGGTTGATCTTTAGCAAAGTCCACTGTAAACTGTATACATTTTACACTTGAGATCCATGCTGGTTTTACTAATAAATTATTGTTACTACAGGTTTTATTGGTATTGTCACACATATAATTATGGTTTGTTGCTATATGCCATGGAGGTTATATTGTGATAGTATATATTAGGGCTAGCTTGATCTTTAGCAAAGTTCACTGTAGCCTGTATACACAATGCTTTTAGTTATCAACTATTGCTACTAATTCTATTGGTTTTGTCATGTATATAAATATTGGTTGTGGCTGTGACATATGCCATGGAAGTTATAATCTGATAGTGTATCTGAGGGCAAATTTGATCTTTAGCAAAGTATATGGTAACCTGTATACTTTCAATGTGGAATCTATGCTGGTTTTGCTAATAAATTATTGTTACTACCAGGTTTTAATGGTCTTGTCCTATATATGCGATGAGGTATGGTTGTGGCATTTGCCATGGAGGTTACAACATGACAGTGGTTCTGAGAGCAAGCTTGATGTTTAGCTAAATACACTGGGGATTAACATTGGTTTTAGTAATAAAATATTGTTACTACCAGGTTTGAATGGATTTTGTAACACATCTAATTATGGGGTGTTGAGATTTATATTCCTGGTTTAACTGTTCTTTATTTTCAGTGTGAATCCTCTCATGCATGTGGTACAGTCTACAGATTTACTAATAGATAGATAGATAGATAGATAGATAGATAGATAGATAGATAGATAGATAGATAGATAGAAAGAAAGAAAGAAAGAAAGAAAGAAAGAAAGAAAGAAAGAAAGAAAGAAAAAAGGAAAGGAGGAAAGAAAGAAAGAAAGAAAGAAAGAAAGAAAGAAAGAAAAAAGGAAAGGAAGAAAGAAAGAAAGAAAGAAAGAAAGAAAGAAAGAAAGAAAGAAAGAAAGAAAGAAAGAAAGAAAAAAAAAAGGAAAGGAGGAAAGAAAGAAAGAAAGAAAGAAAGAAAGAAAGATCTGGATCTTTGAAAAAAAACAAACATATTTTTGGTCTAACTGTAAAAACACTAATTATTTTTTTCCTTACCTGATGCAATTTACAACCTTTACTAAAGAGAATTTCTCAGGAACAGAAAAAGTAATTAGACACGCAGTGGTCCACTACTAACAGGTATACTATGTTTCAACCATGTTTGCCAATGTCAGAATAGCTACTTTAAATTAATTATGGGGTGGTCTGGTCACTGTAATAATTACCTACTATTTAATGTAGCCTTAAAGTGACATTAAACCCTCAGATTTTTTAACATAAACCAATACTGTAATGTGCACCTTACTGTAATCCATGGTTGTTTCCCTTCTCTTTGCTGCTCTTCCTTTTAAATCCTCATGTCTTCTCATGCTGGGGGGGAAATTCCCTTTGCAGCTGACTGCCTCTTCCTGTAGTGCTGGCTCAGGTTGCAAACCTACACACAGACACCATGTATCCATTCCTGAGACAAGGCAGTCTGCTGCAAAACAGAAATTCTGCCCAGCATGAGAACAGATACAGATTTAAAAGGAAGAGCAGCAAAGAGAAGGGAAACAACCATGGATTACAGTAAGGCACACATTACAGTATTGGTTTATGGTAAAAAATCTGAGGGTTTAATGTCACTTTAAGGTTCAACACCACATTTCTCCTAGCCACCGAGATTAGAAATACCAAATCTGATGATTTAAAATGTGCTATTAAAATTATATTTATTTTTATTTCCTTTGTACAGGATTGGGCATTCAACGTGAACACAGCTTTATGGTATTCATTAACAATCACTTTACTAGGTGAACAGCTTCTACTTCTTTAGTAAATCTACCCCAGTGCAACATAAGTGCATTTAGCTGCTCAATGGGAAGACTCAGGAAGAAGGCGATAGAAGCAGAGTGCACATATATCCGCTGTGCTCCACTCTCCTATAGAAATAAAACGTATTTTATTCCGGTCTATAATATCCTGACTTTGACTTTTATGTGACAAGTTCACTTTAAACGACAGTTTATTAAATTATGCATGTTAGGTATGAGAGGCATAAAATATACATATATGATTAGATGGACGGATATATGTGCAAACCAGCTCTTTAATCACAATTGCCCCTTCACTTCGTAGCCTGCAGATTGTATTTGAGAAAAGATGAGGTTCCCCTGATTCTGATACAGCTTGGCAATTCTATAAATAAAGACGGGCTGTACAAAGCAAGCAGACAGCAACAAAAAGGGTTATACCGTTTAACACTAAAAAAAAAAAAAGAATAAAACTATACAAGGTAGCAAAGTTTTACAGCTATAAATGCCACTCAATGGACAATGCATGGACATTAGGACTCATACCTAAAACTGAAACGAATGCAAATTCCATGGGCTTTACAGCAACGAATCAAATGTTAGCATTTGATTTATCTTATAATAATAATAGTAGTAGTAATAATAATAAAAATGGCATAATAATATATTGATGATAATAATAATTATTACTATTATTATTACTGTTGTTATTATTATCATTATATTATTTTTAACAATGTATTATTATCTATTATTATTCATTTGTGACCCCTCTAAGTCATGAGATATTTATTGAAGGACAGCTAATAAATGCAAAATCAAGTCATTTTAGATTTGTGCTGATAACACCTGTGTTTAAAATTAAAAAAGATCAAACAAATAAAAAGGATAAGGGTTGTGCATCTAGTTTATATGGAATGGACTCTAACTGAATGCACTAGCACATTTCTGTTTGTGATCACTTCAGTTGAACTAATTGGACTCCTTTCAGGTGAAATTTGTCTTTTAGAAAACAAAAAAGCTTCACAACAGTATTATAACAGAGAAATTGCTGCAGGTACACATTTAGTTTTCATAGGACAAACTAAAATTAGTTTGTCTGTACATTTATTTAAAAAAAAAAGTCGCATAACAAACTCAACCAAGACCAAATAACTGCATTCAATTTACACCATCTTATAAAAAGAAGATATAGACAACTTTTATAATATCAAAGAGCATTTGTTATAACAGATAAGTGATTGGATAGTGGTCCGATATATCTACAAGTCATGGCAAGGGCTAAGAACGTGGTTTCATCACATCTTTAGTTTAAAACAATGGAGCTCATAAGCTGGCGCTGTGGCTGAAAGTCCTGAACTGGGAAAGTCATGGTGGGCTAGGACCACTGGAGTCAGAATGCCCTATATGATAGGACTGGGGAGGGGGGACAAAGTGCACCCTGTAAAGTACTGTTCTGGCAGCCAATAAGAACAGAGGTTTTTGCTAGGACTTTAGAATTTGTTATCTCCATCCTGCTCATGAGACTCAGATAAAAGCACTGAAATGTAAACTGGCATCACTCTTATATGACATAGCTGCTTATAGAGTGGACAACCGTTGATAAGTACATATATTTCATTACACTCTTCCATAGTCCTGTATTCTCAAGAGCCAAATAAGTAATTTTGCTATTTAGTCCAAAGGATTTTTTTGCTATGTGTAGAAGCACATAAATAGATACATCCTGTATACGTATAATACATCTGCATATAATTATATATAATTAGATTTAATGATATAACGTTGTGCTATGTACTTTAGTGGCTCAGTGCCCCTTGCTAGTCCCAGTCTCCTGGTCACTTTGCTCATCCGTGAAACATACGTCCACGTCACTGTCATTGTCCTCACTCTTGGTGTCTGCTTGTGGATAGGAAGGGTCACTGTGTATGTCTTCCTTGGTGCTCAGGCTTTGGCCAGGGTGCCTTGATTTGACGTGTCTTTCCAGATCCCTTCTTCTCACCAGCACCTTGCCACAGTGCTCACAGCGGTAAGGTGTGTTCCCCTCAGCATGCAGGCGAATGTGCTTGTTCAGGTTACTGGGGTCCCCAAAGGGCCTGAGACACACCTTACATTTGAGGGGCTTGTAGCCAGTGTGAGTCCTCATGTGGATCTTCAGGCCATATTTACGAGAGTACAGCTTGCCACAGTAGAGGCATAGGTGTCCCTTTTTGGGCTTCCCAGTCCCAGAGACTGTGGCCCCAGCTAGGCTTTCAAGTCTACCAGCTCTACTTTTTTCTGCTGCTATTTCAGAGAGCTGATGATTATGCATGGCTATCTCACGGTCTATGCTGGTGGTGAGAGCGCCCAGCTCTGGGTTCAAGGCTGGTCCAGCATTAAAATAAGACACGGACTCGGGGTATTTGATAAGGTTGCTGAAATGGAATTTAAAGGGATAATAGGGTGTGCTGTAGAGAAGTTCCCCATTGTACACTGTGAAAGGCATGACTGGAATGTTACATTCTGCTGAGTAGGACTTGATGCCTTCAAACTGTGGGATGGAGAACCGTTCTGAGAAGTGTAGTCCTGGCTGTGTCATCTGGTTGTAGCGACTGCTGGGTGACAAATTGCTATGAATGCCTCGTTCAACGTGTTTGAAAGCTGACGTTTCCTCCAGGTGGGACAGGATAGGAAAGCCCCTCAGGCCAGTGCTACAAGACAGGACACTGGAGGAGCCATCACCTGGGTGCAGGTACTTGGAGTGGTGATTGTTAACTAGACCTTCATTTGAACGGCTTGGCTTGATGCCTCCTAAAAGTTTACCAAAGCCAGTGCTGCTAGATTTTGTGTCTTCTCTAGCAGAGTCAGCATGAGGTACTTTGGATAGTCCAGCTGGTTTGAAAGCCGACCTTAAGCCTGGATAAAAGGTAACGCCATTGGCACCACATGGGTTGGCCACCACACCTAGAAACTGTCCGTGATTCCTGGCAGAGCTCACGGTCATGTCTAGAGCTCTGTCCTGCTCCTCTTTGCCAAGTGCCTTCTTGATGACCCCAAGCTTACTCAAAGCTGGGGACAAGGAGGATTCCCTCTTAATAGAGTCTCTGCCGTTGTTCTGCTGATGGTTCCCTCTCAGTGATGGGGTGGGATTGGGGACTCCATCAGCCGCCTTGGGAGAAGCACTGAAAATGTCCGAACCTCTGATGTGGTCGTTCCCAAGAAATCCTCTTCCATTATTCACCGCACAGTGAAAATGGATGTGGGCCTTTAAGGTGTTTGGAAACTTAAATGTCCTCCAACAATACCAGCAAATGTATCTTTCTTCCCCTGGTGGAGAAAACAGGCATACATCAGTCGACTACCAGAACCAGTATTATCATCTTATGCAATAAAAAGTTACATCTAATAAAAGTAAAGGAAAAGGATCCTAAATGTGTTGCCCATAGCAACCTGCCCTGCAACTGATGAAAGTCATCTAGGGGTGACACCTTGAGTTGCCTTCCACCATAGAAATGTACAGCAAATTGCGCATAAATGTTCTCCATGAAGGAGCGCAGTGATAAAAACGGACAGTGAACTTGAGAACAGTGATCTGACCTGACTGGTGTCTCTAATTTACTAATCTCGCCCATCTATCTGTCTATGCATCTATCTCTGTCTGTGATATTAACCCCCTCTTAACCCTCCATCACTCCCAACACGGCTTCATTAATAGGATGATGGGAGGAGAGGGCTGCTCATTGCACTGGGATATGGCCCATCTGTTGACATCAGGAAAAAGGAGAGCGTATGTCGGGTAGTTTAGGACTCATTTTAACAAAGGGTTCATCTAATGATCATGATCTCCTACTAACAAAGCGGAACAATCTGAGCACAGCCATCCTTCACTCAAACACAATGGCAGTTCTGCTAAAACCCCATCGAAGTGACGTTTAGAGCATCTGTGTACAGTGTTTAAACCCTCATTTAAATTCAAATCGAGACCTTCCATGTATAACTCTAGAATACTTCAAACGATCTCATTTTGTAACTGTCAGGAAAATATAAGCACACACGCACCGATAAAAGTGTATAGGGAGCAGCGATGTCAAACTATACCGCTAGTCAGAAGGGACCCAACTAATCCTGTTAGTAACGAGCTGGTGCTGAAGAGGATTACACGGCTGGCATTGAAAATCACTTGTCCTAGTTTCATTATTTTCACAGCAAATCCGTTGAATTTGAAAAAGACTTTACGAAATCCTTTGGTTTGTGGTAGATTATCACTTGTTCTTTTAATGCAAAGTAGGGCAATTGTTAAACGGCCCCAGTGAACTGCCTGTAATCTGGGTTTACAAAAATGTGTCCCTATGGGATGGCTAGTTTTTTTTAGGACAATTCAGATCGAATTGACCAGTGACTTTCTGTGCGATCAACTAGAAACTGATTCTTATATTGGGCTAGAAAAGAAAAAGTTTTATCTATAATCCTCTCCTCATCCTTTCCTTTCAGCCACCTGTTACCTCCTTTTCCTTATCTACTAAGAAAAGATTCTTCTCTTCTTTATCAATCTAACCGTACTTGTTTAAGGCAACCAGAGGACTTTATAGAATGAGAATATGTATTTTGTATTAACCATTTTACATGGTCTATTTAAAAGATTGCATTATTCTATATATGGGGAAATTAAAAATGTTAAATGCACGGAACAAGAGGATCTATCTATCTATCTATCTATCTATCTATCTATCTATCTATCTATCTATCTATCTATCTATCGTCTATAAGAGTCAGATTTGGAAACAGATTCACAACACATGCAAAAAAGGGGTTCATATCTTATAGATGACAAACGTACCTTTCTCGTCGTGTGTTGGGGTAGCTGTAGTGGAGATGTCAAAGCACTGAGCCAGAGAGTTGGAGTACCAAGCTGTGAGCTCCTCTCCTGCCTGGATCTCTCTCATTGTCCTGTAGTAAATCTGTTTAAAAAGAGGAGTCACCTGTCATTCACCTGCTCATGTTAAAATAGTCTACCGCTTAGCAGTGAGGGGGTTAATGTTAGGAAATTAAACTGCTATTACGCTGTGATAATTATGCAAATCAAGAGAGATGATAGATAGATAGATAGATAGATAGATAGATAGATAGATAGATAGATAGATAAGGTAAAAGGAGAGAGGGAGAGAGAGAGAGAAATAGATAGATAGATAGATAGATAGATAGATAGATAGATAGATAGATAGATAGATAGCTAAGGTAAAAAGAGATAGATAGATGATAGATAGATAGATAGATAGATAGATAGATAGATAGATAGATAGATAGATAGATAGA